TGCGTACCTAAAAGCCTGCCCGAGGGACTTTCGAAATGGAAAGTCAGTTTCAAAACACATAATGGTTAGCATGCCAGTGCTAACAAAATGTTGGCCACAAAAATCAATGACGACTGAGAAAGGACTCTTATACTAGACTACTATTTGCTTTCATCTTGCAGTGTGGCACCCACCATGAAAGTTGCAGAAAGACCCTAACAATTGACTCATAATTTTGGTTCATTTCTCTTGTTTTTTTCTTCTTCCTAAACCCCACTCTGATCTTTTGCCTTGAGTGAATATCAATTAAGATGTACATTCTTGGCTGCATCCTCGGATGCTCCCATATCTACAAAGGCTTTTATCTATCCGACCGCGATAATGATGTATATAAACATCAAACCTTGTTGTTTGCGGCAACTCTTGGCCTTGACAGAACCGAGCATGATCGAGCCAAGCTTTAGGATCTCTTTATTGGTCCATCATCCTCTTTAGCGATGGTAGACAGCTTGGCTCGCTTGGGGTGTAATCTACGGAGTCAAGTTTTAAATTATTTGAATTTGGCTCGGTGTGTTCCTCATTTTAATTTAAGCAATTTCAACCCTAGTAATTAACCAGCAAGTACTAACAAAATGTAAAAGCCAAAAAACTCAACGACGACTAGCGAGGATGGACTCTATCACGAGACTACTATTTGCTTTAGTCATGCTCTGTGCCAACCGTCATGAAAGAGGCAGCAAGACCATAGCAATTGACTCATAATTTTTGTACATTTCTCTTTTTTTTTTTTTTATGTATAATAATAGGTTCAAATCATGCTTCAAGAAAGCAAGTAAAACTAATTGCTTGGCTTGACAAGATTCTAAACTTTAGATTGTGTACCTACGTTTAAGATGACACTATTTGACCTACTGATTGAAATTTGTAACATGAAACCTCAAAGATGTAGGTGCAATTCAGTTTAGCACTTTTTGCATAGAAAGGAATCTGAAATAAAAAAGAAAGCTACAAATATTGAGATTAAAATTTAAATTTATTAAATATCAATTTAATAATTACATAAATTAATCAAACTATAAACTCAAGTCAAACATTCTATACTTCTCTCCAAAGGTATCCAAAATCCAAATACTACTTTCAAAAAAATCAGTATGCAATACAGAGTAGCTGACCCGCAAATGCCCGCAATTATGGCAGACAGCAAGAGAACAACTAAAAAGAAGATGGAAATTACTAAGAGATTGCACTTTGCTTTAAGTCTGCCTCGTGCCAACTGCCATGAAAGTGGCGCCAAGACCATAAAAATTGAATTGACTCATAATAATTTAGGTCATTTTGCTTGCACTTTCCTTGGCAGTTTCTTTATCTTACTTTTTTTACTATTCTTTTCACTGCTTTCGAGCATTGGATATAAACAACCAAAATTATAGTCAAATAGTTCATAAAAAGTTTAAGTTTTTATTCGTATATGTTTATTTTTTAAATTTAATAAATAATTAAAAATAGTATTTGGATATTTATAAATTAAATAAATAGATCATAAATATAATAAATTTGTTTAATATTTGATTTATAATATAGCATAGAAATATATAAAAAAATTTAACAAATGGTTCGTAAATAAATTTAATTTATTTCATATATTAAATTTAAAATTATATTATAAACAATATTTTAAAATTTTTTAATTAAAGTGACGAGCATAAATATGATAAAATCATATATTATATATAATATTATATTACAATATATAAAGAAATATGATAAGATTTGTTTGTGGACCCTCAAATAGATGATTTCTCTTTTCAATATGTAAAAAAATATCTAAATTTTTTTTATATTGAAATGTAAGATATTTTTTAATTTTAAGATGTTTATCAAAAAATATATATTTAAAAATTAAGGGGAAGACTAATTCAATTATTTTTAAATTGTCAGTAAAAGATCTATTTTAAATATATTATTTTTTAAAAAATACATTTTCAAATAATCTAAATATATATGTTCTTCGCTTTAAAATTTTCACTGGTAATTATATTACTTGTAATTTATATATATTGAATATTTAAATAATTAAATAATATTAATTTATATATTTAAATATATTTAAATAAATAAAAATAATTCGTGTCCCTGCTAGTTATTTTATATTTCATTTGTTTACACTAATTATCGAGCGTGCGTACCTAAAAGCCTGCCTGAAAGAGTTTGGAAATGGAAAAGTCAGTTTCAAAACACCTGATAGGTCGCATGCCAGTGCTAACAAAATGTTGGCCACAAAAATCAATGACGACTACGAAAGTACTCTATCACGAGACTACTATTTGCTTTAATCATCAGTGTGGTACCCACCATGAAAGTTGCAGAAAGACCCTAACGATTGACTCATAGTTTTGGTTCATTTCTCTTTTTTTTTTTCTTCTTCCTAAACCCCACTCTGATCTTTTGCCTTGAGTGAATATCAATTAAGATGTACATTCTTGGCTGTATCGTCGGATGCGCTCCCATATCTACAAAAGCATTTATCATCTGCCCCCCGATAATGATGTATATAACTCTTGGCCTTGACAGAACCAACCAAGCATGATCGAGCCAAGCTTTAGGGTCTGTTTATTGGTTTATCATCCTCTTTAGCGATGGTAGACAGCTTGGCTCGCTTGGGGTGTGTAATCTACCGAGTCAGGTTTTAAAGTATTTGAATTTGGCTCCACGTGTTCATCATTTTAATTTTAAAAATTTCAATCCTAGTAATTAACCAGCAAGTACTAACAAAATGTAAAAGCCAAAGAACTCAACGACCACTAAGAAAGATGGAGTCTATCACGAGACTACCATTTGCTTTAATCATGCTGTGTGGCACCCAGCATGGTAGGGGTAGCAAGACCATAACAATTGACTCCTACTTTTTGTACCTTTCTCTTGTTTTTTTTAATCTATAATAATAGGTTCAAATCATGCTCCACGAAAGCAAGTAGAACCAATTGCCTGGCTTGACAAGATTCTAAACTTTAGATTGTTACCGATGTTAAAGATGAAACAAACGGACCTACTGATTGAAATTTGTAACCTGAAATCTCGAAGATGTAGGTGCAATTTAGTTTAGCACTTTTTGTACACAAAGGAGGCCCTAATCTGAAATAAAAAAGAAAGCTACAAACATTGAGATTAAAATTTAAATTTATTAAATATCAATTTAATAATTACATAAACTAATCAAACTAAAAACTCATGTCAAACATTCTATACTTCTCTCCAAAGGTATCCAAATTCCAAATACTATTTTCAAAAAAATGAGTATGCAAGACAGAGTAGCTGACCCGCAAATGTCTGCAATTATGGCAGACAGCAAGAAAACAGCCATAAAGAAAAGATGGAAATTACTACGAGATTGCACTCTGCTTTAAGTCTGCCTTGTGCCAACTGCCATGACAGTGGCACCAAGACCATCAAAATTGAATTGAATCATAATAATTTAGGTCATTTTGCTTCCACTTTCTTGGCAGTTTCTTTTTCTCACTTGTTTGACCATTCTTTTCACTACTCTCTCTATTATTTCTTAGTTAATATCAATCAAGAAGACTTCCACCTGCTTTTACCATTAGCTAATTAACTATTTCTTTGCTCCTTAAATATCTGCTACCAGAGTTTCTATAGTTACCAAGGAAGTTTGCTTTTTGCTATCCGCCAGCCCTTTTTTTCTTCACTGTTTTTTCTCCCTCTTCGAGGTCTTGCAGAATTATCAGGCTACCAAATGGTTCAAATTAGCAGGTAATTTTCAATTAAGTTATTTTGAATTTCCTATGATGTTGACTTTATAATGATTGTATTTTAATTTTGTTACAAACATTGTTTAGATGATTTTGATAAAATACTAAGACATTATCATATGTTTAGACCTTATTCGATATATAAATTTTAATATAATATATTTTAATGCTTAATACAAGTTTTTAATATGCTGGCTGAAATCAAAGATTGCGTCCCTTTCCCATGCTAAAATTGTTTAAAAATGTCCTTTCATTTTTTGCCCCTATATGTATCCGAAAACTGGGTTTTTTTTTTATGTATTACTTTAATAAAAAAAAAAAAACTTGTCGTTTGTAGACGTTGCCATCCCATCAGTTTTAGTCTCCATTTGCAAGCATGATTTAAAGAGATTTTCACCGCATCCCAGAATGAGTTATATTTAAAAACAAAAAAAAGACTTTGGCTATGGAAAAGTCAGTGTGAAAACACCTAATATTTTAACATGCAAATTAACAAATTATTATGCCACAAAATTCAACGAGGACAAAGAAAGATGAAGTCTATCACGAGACTACTATTTGCTTTAATCATGCACTGTGGCACCCACCATGAAAGTGGCACCAAGACCATAAAAATTGACTCATAATTTTGGCTCATTTCTCTTGTTTTTTATGTACGATAGGATCAAATCAAGATCCAAGAAGGCAAGTAAAATAGTTGCCTGGCTTGACAAGATTCTAAAGTAATTAGAATTCTCATGCTAGCTAGTATTTCATAACGTAATTAGAATTAGACTGATGATTGAACGTGTCAAATGAACAAAACATTGCGACATTGCAATAGAGACAGCCATTGAAGCAAAACATGGTTGGATGGTTGATGGCTTGGCCCTTGTTCCTCCTAACCAGAACAATGATCATTTATTCATGGTGACAACCCGCACTAATGGCTATCTAAAATGTTAGAAATAGACAAGATTTATGTTTAAGCTTGTTGATTTATCGTTAAATTGTAGATCCATCAACTTTGTTATGTCTTGCCCATTTTCTTTTGGCTTGCGTGTTTTATGCTTCCCTCCAGAGGGCATTCAAATACTACTCTCAGAAAAATCACTATGCAATACTCGGTAGCTGACCCACAATTGCCAACAATTATGGCAGACAGCGAGGAAACAGCTAATAAGTAAAGATGGAATTTACTACGAAAGTGCACTTTGCTTTAATTCTGCCGAGTGCTACCACCACCAAAGTGGCAGCAACACCATAACTATTGATTCATAATTTATGTCATTCCGCTTGTTTTTCTTTTCAGTTCCCTTTGCACTTTCTTTCTCTTTACTTTTTTTGACTTTTCTTTTCACGACTCTCTTATTTCTTAATTAATATCAATCAAGATGGTAGCACAGACTTCCACCACCTTTTACCAGTAGCTGATTAACTATTTCTTTGCTCCATACGTATCTGATACCAGGTTTTATAGTTAGCAAGGAATTTTGCTTCTTCTTATCTGCTCTAGGCCTTCCTTTCTTCACCGTTTTTTTTTCGCTGATCGAGGTCCTGCAGAAGTGTTAGCCTGTCAAAGCAGGTAACTTTCACTTCAGTTTTTTTTTTTTTTCTGCTCATTACCAGGGAAAATTTGCTTGCATGATTCGGTTTCAAGATTATCATGACATGCCTTTTTTGCTTTTATTGAGTTTTGTTTTTCTTTTTCCACTTTCACTAAGATGTTGACTTTACAACGATTGTGTTTTAACCTTGTTAAAAACATTGTTCGGATGATTTTATGGTCTTGTTTGGAACATGAATAAATGTCAAGCAAGATGAACAATTGTGATAAAATCATTACATTTAGCTTTATATGATAGGAGTAACGGTATTGCTGAAAATCAACCAAATGTTTAAGATCTTACCAGTGGTAAGGTGGAGGCCTAGGATCGTATGATCAAGTTGTTTCGGGTTTGATTCTCAGTCATGTGAGTCTTTGGAGGTCTGATATTGACAATTTCCATTCCCCCTAATATTTGGCAATGTTTATATGGAAGTCCTGTTAATAGCTGATGGATCTCAATTTGCCATACATAAGAATAGTAAATTTTACAGTACTTGACAATCCCAGGCCTTAATTTTGTGTAATCTGCTTACTGTTTCTTATTCTTAAGAGCTGATGGTTTTGATAGAACCGCAAACGCCAACAATTATGGCAGACAGCAGGGAAACATCTAATAAAAAAAGATGGAACTTACAACGAGATTGCACTTCGCTTTAAGTCTGCATTGCAACTGCCGTGAAAATGGCACCAAGACCATAACAATTGAATTGACTCATAATAATTTAGGTCATTTTGCTTGCACTTTCCTTGGCAGTTTCTTTTTCTCACTTTTTCGACTATTCTTTTCACTACTCTCTCCATTATTTCTTAGTTAATATCAATCAAGATGACTTCCACCTGCTTTTACCACTAGCTAAGTAACTATTTCTTTGCTCCTTAAATATCTTCTACCAGGGTTCTATGGTTACCAAGTTTACTTCTTGATATCGGCCAGCCATTTTTTCCTTCACCGTTGGAGGTCTTGCAGAAGTATCAAGCTACCAAGGGGGTTCAAATTAGTGGGTAATTTTCAATTCAGTTATTTCCAATTTCCTATGATGTTGACTTTACAATGATTGTATTTTAACTTTGTTAAAAACATTGTTCAGATGATTTTATATGGTCTTGTTTGGAACATGAATATTTGGTCAAGCAAGATGATCAATTGTGATTCGACTTAGCTTTAATTATAAAAGTAGTACTGGGTATTGCTGAAAATCAACAAAAAGTTTAATTTATTGATGTTCAAAATTGATATTATTAAGTTTGTTTGTAGGTGTATTACGCTATTTTTTGAGATAAACGGAACTATTTCAAACCCTGCAAGTTATCGTGTTATCTTCCTCCTACTCCATGTTGACTCCGTCTTCTTCATCATCTTCTTCCATTTATCCATGGAAATACGACATTTTCTTGAGTTTTAGTGGTAAAGATACCCGAAAGAGCTTCACGGACCATCTATATGCTGCTTTAAAGCGGTACAAAATCAACACTTTCAGGGATGATAACAACCTTAAAAGAGGCGAGGAGATCGCACCCGAGCTCTTGAAAGCAATTGGAGAATCATGGGGTTCGATAATCGTTTTTTCGGAAGAATATGCTTCTTCAAGTTGGTGTTTAGATGAGCTTGCCGAGATTGTGAAACAGAGGAAGGAAAGGGGACATCAAGTTTTTCCAATTTTCTATGATGTTGAAGTCTCCGATTTAAGACATCAAAGAGAGAAGGTTCAAGAAGCCTTTGCCATGCATGAAGAGAGATATAAAGAGAACAAAGATAAGACGCAAAGGTGGCGAGATGCTTTATCCCAAGTGGCTAATATCAGTGGCTGGCCTTTAAAAGATCAGTAAGTTATAACTTCTTTTTTTATCTTTTGGAAGTTCAAACTCAAGACCTTCAATCCTTGACTTGACTCCAGTAATAACAGTTAATTGGTAGTAATAACTCTTTCTTTCTTTACTAAAGTTTAATTTTTTTTTTTTTTGGTAATTTATCAAATAAAAAATTTGTCAACAAATCTTTAGATTTAATAAAAATATAGATTTTAATTGATCTCTTATTTAATATCATTGTCATTTTCAGTTTCACTAAGCTATATTTTTTTTATAACTATAAATGTTTGTTTTCTTTTTTGTAGGTATGAATCGAATTTCATTGAAAATATTGTTGAAGAGATATCAGCAAAATTAGATGCCAAAAAAATTGTAAGTAATTTTACAAAGGCTATACATTTTATTATTATTGTTTTTTTTAAAGAAAAATTACTATATCTAGTTAGTATGGTTATCCGCCAATGAAGAGTGAGTTGCTAGCTAAATCTTATTATATATGACATTAGGTTGTAAATTCAATAAATTAGGATTAGATCATATTTTAAAATTATCATGTTAATTTAATAGGACCTCATTCATGTTATTAATGTGAAGTCATCCATTTTTATTATGACAAATTTTCTTAATATATTGTATTTTAATTTATTTTTGCCTAGCCAAAAAGTTTTTTTTTTTTAAATAAAATGATAGATACCAGTTTCTTACAATGAACTGTTTTTGATGGAATTTTAGTAGATAAATAAATCCAATATGTTATTATATACTAAGTATGACTTTTAAAAATCTAAAAAGAAATTAAAATTTTTAGATGTACATTTAGACGTGCACATAAGCTAATCCTAATTTTAAAGTCAAAAGTATTTTAATTTTAATATTGTTAAATATATTTTTAAAATAAAAATTTGTTATTAATAAAATAATATAACTAATCAGACAAAACCTAGGGCCTAGAAACTTAAGCCCAAGCTTGCCTTTCAGGCTTGGACAGGTAGCCCAATTATTGAACGCTTCTAATATACCTTATGTAATCTAATTATGACTATTAGACTAGCGAAAATGGCCTACCTTTTATTCTTTGTTTAATACGATTTGTATAATTACACTTCACACAGAACAGTTTTGAATTTTGGATTCATTTCTTCCCTTTAGGGGCCTTAATTTTACAGTACTTGACAATCCCAGGCCTTAATTTTGTGTAATCTGCTTACTGTTTCTTATTCTTAAGCGCTGACGGTGTTGGTGATATAAGTTAAAGAAATGGCAATTACAATGGAAAAGGTCCAAAAAAAAAATAAAATCAAGAGCTAGATTGTAACAGATTGGAAGAAGAAAGCAGTTAGAAATGTTTATACTAAAAATAATTTGATTGTCAAAATTTGGATTGTAGCAATTATATACCCACAATAATCTATAATCTCAAAGGCTTTTAAAGACACCATCTCTAGAGATGACAAAGACCAAAAAAGGAGGTGATGGGAAGGAGAGCAGGGGGAAGCTTCCTTTCCTTTACTTTTGTTCGGTCTTAGAAATAGACTTTCAGAAAATAAAGTCGACATAAACCATGAAGACCAGATGTAAACTTAGAATACAATTCGTATGAGTGAATGATTGTTGAATCTTGAAAGTAAAATTTATCATGTAATCGGAATTTTATTGCTTGATTGTTCTAAAAATGTGCATTTCATAAATATCTCTTCAACTGCAACATGTAGAAAGAACACATAGTCATCTGCTTCTATTTGAGTATGTTGTTTCTTATGTTGATCACCGAACATAAATATCTAATACTATTTCTACTAAGAAAACGACACAAGAGCTAATCTCGGTCCAATGCTAGAAAATTGCTTACATGTTTTCTAAGGGGGAAAAAATGGTTTTTTGGGCAACTTATTCTTAGTCAACTATGTGCTTCTTTTATATGATAAATCTGTTTACCTGAGTTCTTTTAGAGATGTATACACCTGAACATAGCATTCTGATGTACATATTGGGTGTTTTGTAGGTACTCGATCAGAATTTAACTATCCTGATGAGAAAATTGGAGGAACTAAATGGCCTGAAGGAGGACAATGAATCAATGAAGAGTGTACAGCTGCAACCAAGAAAGAAACTCAAGAAAGAAGTTGAGATTTGGCTTCGAAATGTTGAAAGGATTAATGGTGAAATACTGAATCTTGAAAACGAAGTTAGAGGAAGCAATATTGTCTCGCGTGGATTCCTTGTAGAAACCGTTTCAAAAAAGATACAAGAAGTTGAAGAACTTCATCAAAAAGGGAAGATCTTTGATGCTTTGGTGATTGACGAGCCTCAGTGGATTGGACAAGTTTTGTCAACAACAAAATTAATTGGTGATGTTGCAAAAGAAGTTATGAATGAAATTTGGGCATATTTGATGGATGATGGTGTTTCAAAGATTGGAGTTTGGGGAATGGGAGGTGTAGGTAAAACAACTGTCATGAAGCTCATAAACAACCAACTTTTAAAAGAGACTGAAAAATTCAACAGGGTGATATGGATCACTGTATCAAAGGAGTTGAAAATCTCTAAATTACAAGACGGCATTGCAAAAGCAATGCAAGAATCCCTTCCTGAAGTTGAAGATGAAGCAATAAGAGCAGGGGTCTTAAACGAAATGTTGTCTCAAAAAGGCAAGTATGTGTTAATCTTGGATGATCTATGGGACAAAGTTTCTCTTGAAGACGTAGGCATCCCCGAGCCTTCTAACGGGAGTAAATTGTTGGTGACATCTCGGTTGTTAGAGGTGTGCCGCTATTTGGGTTGTCAAGAAGTTAGAATGGGTATTCTTTCAAAACCAGATGCATGGAGCCTATTCTCGCAAAAAGTAGGTCAAGATGTTTTGAATGAGCCACAGCTATTGCCCATTGTGGAATCTGTAGCTGAAGAATGTGCTGGTTTGCCCTTGGCTATTGTTACAATAGCAAGCAGCATGAAGGGTGAACGGCACATTCATGAGTGGAGGAATGCACTCCATGAATTAGTTACACATGAAGAAAGTGTAAGTGGGTTGGAAGGGAAGGTGTTTCAACAGCTTCAGTTCAGCTATGATCGTTTACACAGTGAAAAATTGAAGCATTGTTTCCTCTGTTGTGCATTATATCCTGAGGATCATGAAATCTTGGCATTTGACCTAATAGATCTATGGATTGCAGAGGGGCTTGTGGAAGAAATGGATAGCAGGCAATTGGAGGTTGACAAGGGGCATGCCATATTGAATAAACTAAAAAACAGTTGCTTGATTGAAAACGGTACCAGATATCCAGATCGTTTTGTGAAAATGCATGACATTTTGAGGGATATGGCATTACGTATCACAAGTACAAGACCACGGTTCTTGGTGAGAGCTGGATTGCGGCTGAAAGAGATACCAAAGGCGCAAGAATGGAAAGAAGATTTGGAGAAGGTATCTTTGATGGTGAATTACCAATTACGAATTCCATGCCAAATTTCACCACCAAGGTGTCCAAAGCTCACAACCTTATTGTTGTCCTGTTGCGATGTAAAGAGTATTCCAGAGTGTTTCTTTGAGCAAATGCATGGACTCAAGATTCTTGATCTTTCTGGGAATCATTTTCAGAGTTTGCCAAATTCCATCTCCAATTTGGAAAATCTCACTACATTGTTGCTTGATGAGTGTCGCGATTTAGAGGAGGTGCCATCTTTTTCGGGACTTCAATCTTTAAAGAAGTTGGACCTTCGACATACAAAAATCAAGGATCTCCCTCATGGGTTCGAAAGGCTGGTAAATCTCAAATATCTTGATTTGAGTTGTACGAATATAACAGAGGTGGCCGATGGAATATTGGCAAATTTCACATCACTTCAGCACTTGGCAATAATGAATTTTAACATTGCAACTTACAGATTCAAGGGAAAAGAAGCAGTTAACAGATTCGTGAGAGGAGAGGAAATAGGTCGATTAAGGAAGTTGGAATACTTTGAAGGGGGATTTTATGACTTGAATGAGTGCAACAATTATATCAAAGCTTTGCATGCTCCAACAGAAGGGCCTCGTCAATACTGCATTTTTGCCGGTGAAGCACCAATGCTTACCCTGTGGCAAAAAGGAATTCAATTAATTAGATGTAACATCTGCAGAGACGGGATTAAGGTCCTATCTGATGTTGAGAACTTGCTAATTGGGGAATGCATTATCGATTTGTGTGAAGAAGAGGCATTTTCCTCGCGATTAATCTTACCGCCACATAATGTTTTTTCCTCTCTCTCTCAAATTCGCATACATTGTTGTCAAAATATAAAGAAGTTGTTCTCGTTCAATTGGGTCTTGCAGAACCTCCAAAATTTGAAGTACTTATGGGTTTCAGATTGCAGGGATATGGAAGAAATAATAGCACCAGAATCAGAATCGGAGGAAGAAGTAATAAGTGCCATCAATTTTACTCTTCCCAAATTAAGCTCATTGCATTTGGAGAATCTACCAGAATTGAAGAGCATTTGTAGTGCAAATGGAGTAATGGTTTGTGATTCTATTGAGGAGATTACTATAACACATTGTCCAAAATTGAAGAGGCTACCTCTTTATCTTCCCCTGCATGACGATGGCCAACCATCTCCCCCTCCTTCTCTAAGAAGTATTGAAATTGAAGAGCAGCAGTGGGAATTGCTTGAGTGGGACCAGCCAAATGCCAAGTCTCTGTTGGAGCCTTACCTTAAGTAGCGATAGTTACATGTTCGTTGAAATGTCTGACCATTACAGCGTTCACTGTAACTTTTATTTTTCTGTTGAGACAGGAGGAAATTACGCCTGACCATAATGGTAGCTTTTTTCTAACACTTTCTTTTCTTCTGTCTTCTTCATCTCTCTCCATTTTCACTTTTTAATTGTTAATATCATGCTTGGCCTTTCCAGTTTTCCTGGAGATCTTAGCACGTTAAGGATTATTTGGCGGCAGCTCACACTTTGATGTTCGGAACTCCCTTGATGCATGTTCTTTTCAAGTCTTCTGTTTCTACCCTTCTTGTTGACGTTTTAGAGGTTTCAGAGAATTTAGGTAAGCATGAACAATTTTGGCCAAACCCTTTTAATTGGTTGATCCTTGTGCTCAGGTCAAATATTAATTTTCTGCTTTTGTGTGGATCTATGACAAATTTGTTCCATAGATTTCATACAATTATTGTGTCAGGGTCCGGTTTGATATATTTTCTTGGTGTTGTTACGATTATGGGGATGGTTAACATTGGGGGTCTTCAACCTTTTGTTGATATTATGATTCCAGTTCTTAGTATGGCTAGAAATTTTCAATTTCATATGAATGATTTTGATCACAAAACTGAATTTGAATATCACCCATATTACAATTTCATGAATAGGATATTACACTGAACTTGCATAAAAATTGATTGCATTACAATCTATTTGCAGCTCTCCTCTGTCTAGATTTTTTCGCTAATTGATCTTGAAGAGCTCAAAAATTGGACTCCTTCTTTATTTGCCTTTATTGGTTGTTATCCTTCCATGAATAGAATTCTTTTCCGCGTGTTAGGATTGAATTCAGAACCATCTTTGATAAAAGAATTTTTTTCTCAAAAAATTCTTCATCAAGCTTTGTACGGAATTCCTTGTAAGGCCTTTTTTTTTTTTGTCCTATTTCATGATATGCCTTTGACTCCAGCCTTTTGGTTAGAAGCACAACGGAAGTAAGCTGTTGGATTAAATGCTGTACAAGTTTACAGTTACAGGTCCTTCATTTCATCACTTGTATATCACTCAGTCTCATTTATTTCTTACTATTTTTTCCCTTTCCTACATATTAATTTCAAGCTTTTCTGTCTGTCTTTCCCTAGAAGTGAGAGATAATTTGTCAGCAACTTAATGCTGCTAGAAAATAGAAGGAAATAGTGGCTTCTCACGTTCTCAATTGTAACCATTTGCCATTGTACACTCCCCTAAATTCCCTGTCAAGTCAGAATGGCTGATGAAGACCCTTGTGACCATTTCTTCGTTTTTTTGAAAGCAAGACCAATTTAAGCTGTAGAATAGAAGGCTTAGGCATAGTTGTAAGTCCTTTATCTTTAATCTCTCGTTGCCTAGTTTTCTTTTTCCTTTGTATTTATATTCTTATAATTGATGCCTTTTCTGGTCTTGTCTTTTCCTAGATACCATATCATTTCAACAAATTGTTCCAAATTTTAAGACCGTGGCTAAGAAGATGAAAAGGGAAATTGCTTACTCTGGGGGTGAAGGTAGAATTGTAAATTTCACTCCTTTGCAGAGCACCAGTGTTCTAAATTTTCTTAAATCATCTTCACCGTGGAATTGCCAAGGTTTCCTAGTGTAATATTTGTTGGCTCTGTACTTTTTGTCTGTCTGTTTTGTACTTTGTTTCTTGTCTGTTAATAGAAACATGTCAAGAATTTCTCTTCGTATTTAATCATTGAGAACATGGCAGATTCTGTTACCCTTAATTCTGCTGCAAAGTTAGTTGATTGTATTTCCTTTACCCAAAATTTTTGAAATACGTGTATTTAATTTCGTGTAAAGCTTATATTTCCACCAAGGAGAGCAATATTTATGTTTTCTGGTCTTGGATATCGAGATCCTGTCAAAAGGCTGGTTAGATAGCCAATGTTAGTTAAGTCAGCAAAGTATTGAGAGGAAGAACGTAGGCAGGAGGAAATAGAGATGGTGTAAGGTTCGAAATGTGTTACCTGTGGGCTTGATCATACCTTTTATACCTTGTTCATGTTGACATGGCCAGTTGACTTGCTTGGTATCAACTAAGTAATGGACCGGTTTATTCAGAACGTTTAATAAAGTCAGGATTTGGACATGGCGACTGACGTACAACATATATATTTAGAACGTTTAATAAAGTCTATTAACAAATTATCTTCATTGGACAGCCTAAAGGAATATGAAACTTAATTTGGAAGTTCGAAGCTGCAGATTTGCTGGCCTTGAATACCTTATACTTTCCTTAAGCAACTTGGACTTTACCCATGAAACACTCGTAACCATAGGGAAAAAAAAACACATGGACATGATAAAGAGAACAAAAGAGAAATAACATAGTTGACCTTCGACCCTGCAAATGCCAAATTTTTGTAGTATATCATAAATATCAACAAATAAAGAAGGTGGAATCCACCCCTACACCTCAATTTGTTTTAATGTTTCTTCAGAGAGTTTCCATTAAGTTGACTGGTAGAAATGAAGGTCATTTCTCTTCTTTTCATTTGAACTTTCCTCGGCACCCTCCCTCTTTCTTCTTGGTATTTCTTCCTACTTACCCATTTCTTTGCCCCACAGTCTATATACCTCTTCTACCAAGGTTCTACTGTTGGCAAAGGAATTTGCTTCTTTTTATTAGCTGGGCCTTTTCTTCAATTATCAGGTAATTTTAATTTCCAATACTAAGTTTCTTTTGACTTTTATGAATTGTGCGAAAGTTCATGAAATATTTTTCTGCTCTGCCCATCTATTACTTTCTCACCTTTACTTGTTGACTTGAGTCTTGACATTGATTGTTCTTGATTGGGTTATTAACTTGTTTTTATATTATTCATATGCTTTAATTTTTTGGTCTCTTCATGCTCAAGATGCATGAATATTTTGATCAAACAATTAATTATAAAATGAAAAGCCCATGTAATCTCTTAGAATTGAATGTTTAGATGGGGAACTTAAGTCAACAAAATATGTAATACAAACGGAAGTTGCTGGAACATTATTGAAAAGGGTTCTACTTTAGGAATTTTTACTAATTTTACAGCTTTGGCTTGGGGTTTATGAGTCGGACTCTTTAACTTACATTATGAAAAATTATTTTTAACAAGTAGTAATAAAAAATGAAGAATTTGTTCCCAAAAGTCACAAAAAATGGAGTTAATAATCAGAAATCATACTAAATTTCTGAGCAAATGGCCAACTTTTTTTTGTTCCCAATAATAGGCTTCTTAAAATATATGCTTACATAATTAAGTTCGTTTAAAATTTATTTGTCATGACAAAGCATTCTAATGCCATGTATCGGGTGTTATGCAGGGACTTCACTGAACAAGTAGGAAAAATTTTTGAAGCTGCAAATACTATATGGGGCTTTATAGGAAAACACTGGAAATTCCCTACAGGCCTTGATCAGAATGTAAATAATCTGAAGAGAAAAAGAGAGCAACTAAACGGTCAAGAAGAAGACACAGCATCAAGAATTAAAGCTGAGCAGCGTCCAAGAAAGAAAGTCAAGAAAGAAGTTAAGCTGTGGTTGGAAAATGTTGAAAGGGTAAATGGTGAAATACAGAACCTAGAATCAGAAGCACTTGGACCTAGCAGCTTTTACTCACGTGGATTCCTTAAAAACAATGTTTGGAAGAAGATAGAAGAAGTTGAACAACTTCTTGGAAAGGGTAGATTTTCTGATGGTTTGGTTGTTGATGATCCTTTGCGGATGGGACAGGCGCTGCCGATATCAAGTTTAGTTGGTGAAACAGCAGCACTTAAAAGGAATGAAATTTTGGGATACCTGATGAATAATGAGGTTCAAAAGATCTGAATTTATGGAATGCCAGGAATTGGGAAAACAAGTGTCATCAAGCTTGTCAACAATGAACTCTTAAAAGATGCAAACCAGTTTAATATTGTTGTATGGATCACTGTATCAAGGAAATGTAGTGTTATTGAACTACAGAATAAGATTGCACGGGCAATTAGTGCTGTTATTTCAGAAGATGAAGATGAATCAATACGAGCAGGGATATTATCTGAAATATTTGCTCAAAAGGGCAGGTATGTGTTAATCTTAGATGATGTGTTGGACAATTTTTCTCTGGAGAAAGTTGGAATTCCTGAGCCTACTGCAAGTAATGGGAGTAAATTAGTTCTAACATCCCGATCATTGGATGTATGTTCGACGCATGGATTGTCAAGTAATAAAAATGGAACCGCTTCCTGAAGCAGAAGCGTGCACATTGTTCTTGGACAAGGTTGGTCAAAATCTAATGAGTTTTACAGTTTTAGTGCCACTTGCTAGATCCATTGCTGAGCGTTGTGTTGGTTTGCCTTTGGCAATAATCACAGTTGCCAGTAGCATGAGAGGTGAATATAGCCTTCCTAGAAGGAGGAATCCATTGGAGGAATTAAAAAGGAATGTACAGACTGTCATGGATGTGGATGTTAAAAGGCCATGGTATATCAGCAAATTAAGATTCAGCTACGATCGTTTGAATGATCCAAAATTCAGAATTGCTTTCCTCACTACTGCATCATATCATGAAGATTAAGGAATCCAGAAGAAGCAGCTGATAGGGGACTGGATTAGAAAAGGATTAACAGATATGGGCAACATGCAAGCAAACATTGACAGGGGCCAGGCAATCCTAGGAAAACTTATTGACAATTGCTTGTTAAAAAATGTTGGAAATGGAAGAGTCAAAATGCATGATCTTGTAAGAGATATGGCTGTATTGATCACCGAGGAGCTCTATTCATCATAACCATCATTTCACTGAGAACCAGAAGAACAAGGAGTAGGTGCCACGGCCAGTACAGTCAAAAGTGAAGACAAATATTGCAACAGAAAGGGAGTGATTGTTTGCTGTTTTTTCCCAACAAATTGAAACTCCCAGCTGAAGAGAATGCCTTTGTAACCACGATTGCTTCGTATGAGACACCAAATGATCCAAGTGAGGCAAATGGTGGAACAAAAACATGTCTCACTCTCTTGAATTGTAACTCTATTAATCATCAGTTTTGCACTGAATTAACTGTTACTTCTTCACAAAAAGCTTTTTCCTCCTGTCATTTGCAATTTTTTTATTCCTTTTCTTTTTGTAAAATTGAAATTGAAAATTTTTATTCCTTTCTTTCAGGACAAATGCATTGAATTAAATGGTTGCAAAATCAATCGAGACGGTGTTCAGCTCCCATCCAATATTCAGCGATTGAGTCTTGTTAACTGTATTGTCGATTTTTGTAAAGAAAATGCATTTTTCTCACGGTTTATCCCGGTGCTACTAGACAAAATTTCCTTTCTTCAATATATTTATATAAAAAATTGTAGAAAAATAAAAAAGTTGTTCATGTTTTAACTGGGTGTTGTAGAACCTCAGAGATTTGGAAGTGTTAAGTGTCGAGGAATGTGAAGAAACGGGGGAAATAATAGCATCACAATCAGAAAAGCAGGAAGAAGGAACAGGTACCAGAAAAAACATCAAATTTACTCCACCCAAATTAAGTTATTTGAGACTGTCTTCTCTAGAAGAGCATTCATAGCACAAATGGAGTAATGGTCTGTGATTCTCTCCAAGAAATTTGGTTAGGGAATTGTAGAAAATTAAAGAGGATCCCTCGATATCTCCCCCAACTTTATGATGGCCATCCTCAACCTCCTTCTTCTCCTCTTATTCACAAATTTAAGCTTAACCATTCAATCTTTTCGTCTCCTTTTTTTTTTTTTTTTTGCTTAAGATAATTTTCATTGATGATAATTGTATATTCTATCAATTAAAAATTTATTTTTTTATTTAAAAATTTTTATTATATATAAATTTTTATTATATAAAAATATTAAAATACATAATCTAATAAAATAAAATAAAATAAAATCGTAACCGAGGTATTTATTATGTTTTATTGAAAAATTTTTGATTCTTAAAATAACAAACTTGTTACATAATATATATGTATATATAATTTATAATGATTTCATTTTCAGCATTAAAATAAAAACTTTCATGATTTGGCATAAATATATTGAAAAGATAGTTTTAATGAATTTTATCGTACTCTAAAATAATTTACCAAAAACAATTAATTTTACTTCACTTAATAATTTTTTACATGAAATAATTCATATTGGGTCATTTAACCACTTGTATGATAAAAAAAAAACAATTTAATATAATTAAAAAAGATTAAATAATCTTGAGTTATAAATTAATCATATATAAACATATTAAGATAGAATATGAAAGAAAATTAAATCAATTATTGTTTCATTCAAGGTGAACAATTCTTATGATAATTTGATAGAACCCAATCTTAAGTTACTGGCAGTTCCACCATTTCTTAGATTATCCAATTCTATAGATGAAAAGTCAAATTAAAATTTTTAATTAATCACATAGTACTAATTGTTGATAAGGGAAGCAATTGATTTGAATTCGATTTGATATTAGTTTTTGTTCATTGGAATAACAATTATAAAATTCTAAAAAAAAGATATTAATTATAAAAGTCATATTAAAGTATAAAAATGACATATTAAAAATTATTTCAAAAGACTAAAAAGATTTAATTATGTTATCAATGATTAAATTATCAACTTATAAAGCATATTGATAATGAAATCATTATCATACATACATAGTTAATATATTAAAGTAAAAAATTTAAAAAATAGAAAAAAACAAATATGCTTAAATGGCTTAATTATAATTATTTTAATAAATTTATTTATCAACATAAATTGCAAATACAATTGTTTTTGCTACAACTAAAGAAACATACTTTATATAAATTGGTTTATTCTATGCACATTAAGCTTTTATATTGTTCTATTTATATTTTCATTTAACGTGAAAAATCATTCTATTTATACAAAAAAGAAATTTAATAATTAAAATAAAATCATTTAAATTAAAATTTATAAAAAATTACTAATAGTATTTTAATAAATCACTTTTAATATTTTTGAAATTAAAATTTTATTAAGAGTTTAATCAATCACTTTTAGCACAATCTAATTATATAAAAAAAATCTAATAATAAAAAATTCATTTAAATTAAAATTTATAAAAAAATTTACTAAAAATATTTTAAACAATCACTTTTAACACTTTTAAAATTAAAATTTTAACATTTTAAATAATTTAATTTCTCATAAACTCTATTTTTAATTCTAATTTATTTAAATTAAACAAAAATAAATTAATAAAAACTATATATTTAAAGATAAATTATTAATTTAAAAATTTATAAAAATATTTATGTCAATTACTATTAATATTTTTATTAATATTTTTGGAGTTCACACGTATTATTTTGTTTGAGCTGTGCCTTCAAGCAGTTTTCCTCTATTTCCTGACAATTACATTGTTTCAATGCATTATATTTTCCCCAATAAAAAATTGTCAATGTTGCTTTTAACATATAAAAGTTCAAGTTTGGTCGTACAATGGAACCTATTCTCCACAACATTAAGGAAAAACCTCCTTGAAGTTATTTGTTTCTGCGAGAGAAGCAGAGCAGAAATGAAAGAGTTGCATCCACAACTTAAATCAGATCGTAAGCTTTACTGCTTGAGATCAAGCTTTCAGACAAACATAAATGAAAGAGTTGCATGCTGTCTTAATCAATGAGAGGTGTTCATGCACTATTGCTCTGGAAGTTTGTCCTTCAAATATTTCAGAACAGCTTTGGTTCCCCTGTCTAAAATTGGCCTCCCGATGCTGAAAATTCAAGGTAAAGAGAAAATTAGATGATGATTCATAAGCTAGACTCTGCTTGAACAGAAACAGAAAACATGAAACAACACTAAGTTCGGCAAACTTTAATGCTTCTCTGTTCAATTATTTTTAGTTTTGGTATGAACTACAGCTCGGCTGCAGCAGTTTTTCAGCATTGTTTCTTTTTATCAATAACAAAAACCAAAAGTTTATATGGTGAACCACAGAAAATTAATTTAAAGAAAATAAAGTGGGGATATTCAAAATGCCGCATGCCGTCTAACGGATTTCCATCAAGCCTCACCTGGAGGCTTGGTCAAGCGACCCTGGCCAAAAACCATTTCTAAGAATGGCCGTAACAATATATAATCTGAACAATGACCACAGCATAGGAAACCCACACACACACACCCCCCAACAGTATCAAAAAATGGTACAGAGATTTTCTAATTCTGACCAGTTCCGGAGGAAGTGCTGAAATGTTATTGTCCGACAACTCCAGCTCAGTGACAGATGCAAGGGTCTTAAGTGCCTGCACATGAATCTCGACGAAGGATAGACTAAATGACAGTTGATGTGTCAGAAGATAGAACAGGGGGAAAAATATTTGATGCAGGCCAACAATTAGCATCAACAACACAAAATGTGGTATGGTACAAATCTTAACATGCTTGGGTCAATCCAGTATAGACATGCTGACTATATTCATACTATAAAGTGGGATATGAGAAACATAAACCTTATTTTTTAGCATGTGAAAGCCTTAGGTGGAAAGCTCTAATTCTTTCTAGATGGGATCTATACAAACCGCAGCAAACTAGGGATGAAGGGCCACTAAATGAATTTCATCACTCAATAAAATTAATTTTAGACAAATTTTCAATTTCACATAATTGTATGAACATCCACGTGTGATCAATAGAGAAAACAAGTAGTTATAGCAGTTATATAGTGGATGTTCCTACATAAACAGTTAGTGAAGTCAGTTTATGCCAAATATCAAAGTCGTGCAATAGATGCTAACTATCGTGCAAAACTTATTTGTAAGAAGAACTCATAATAAGTGGCTCAGCTTAAAAGAGAATATTCACCTCTTGGATTGATTGAAGGGAATTTTGGCCCAAGTCCAGGATTTGCAGTTGACATAAGCACATTATCTCTGATGGGACTTCTCGTAGCTGAACTTGTCTGTCATGTCAACATAGAAGTAAGACAAATAGCAAATGTTGAAAAAAAAAATAATGATAATAATAAAACACAGATCATTATGCAGAAATTTCCAAGAAAAACAAATCAATGTGTTTGTACTTTTGCATGTGGAAATGCATCTCATTACTTTCAGAACACCAACCTCAAATAAACCTCCTTCGTAAGCTGGAAAACACCGGATTCTCTGGTAATGAAGCAGCATTCCCACTTAGATCTAGTATCTGGAGCATAGAGATTGCTTGGAATCCATCGGATGGATTCTATAATCAAGTAAATAAGAGATGGTTCAGCTCACAAAGATGGAAATAGGAACATGCATGTGTTGAGATACAGAAACAATTATTGGTGGTATTAGTTTCATCTGTTCTCGCATTCCCCTGAGAGTTTTACGTATAGCCAATCTAGTCTAGCAGCATAGAATTGAAATATGCAACCTCTTGCAGTAGTTTAAATGTCTTAACACATGACCAATCGCACAATAATTGATTATTTCAATGTTCTTAGACAGAGATTCCCGTGCCTATCAATCCAATCATCTTATCTGATTCATAAGCCACTTTAGATTGATGATCCATTATTGAAAGAACATAGCGTTCAGTAACCAATTGGGCATATTTTTTTTGCCA